ATATAGTGAACTGAACCATACTATAAAATTGTCTCCTCTCAAACAACAAAAGACAATTAATAATTGGGTAATTAAATATTGTATAACATGTTTAGCCTAAGTGGAAAGATACAATAATCAATCAATCAAGCAATCGATCAATCAATCAATCGGTAGCGATTGATAGACCAAAGTAATTAATTAATCAATCAATCAACAGATGAGTAAAACAGCATACCATACTATTCCACAGAGCTATGGCGGTCTTCTGGTGTCCTTCTCTGCTAAGAAGTGTGCAGTCGTGAGACAGAAGTGTAGGGTCTGGTCTTCCGTCCTGTGACGTAATGTTTTTTACGTGAAAATTAACATCAAACCTTATAATTTTCTATGATGATGAGTTTTAAGTTTACGACTAATTTACGTAATTTTATATGTTACTCTATGACGTAAGGTGTAAAGGGAAGTTTTAACTCAAGTAAATACTTACAGATAGCGAAAGAAAATTGAGATTTTCTAATTGTTTTTGCAGTACCACAGCAAAAGTATCAGTGTCGTACTTGCCACCATCAATTTCAGCAGCTAACTGATCCTGAAATATCAAATTAATTCATCAATGTTGTAAGATAATCATGTTTAGAATTATGTATTTATTTAATGCATATTAATCAGGTTTACTTCGCTTATACATTTAATGATTCGTGTTCATCAAATACATTTTACGTTTTCCAATATACTGTAGTTTATATCGGTTTTTTTCGTTTATTGAAATTTCGTTTATCCTACGCTCAATATATCTATGTATGACTGTGTTCTTGGTTTTGTAAATTGATTTAACTTGATAAAATAATATTAAATTTTCAATGACATGTTAATGTAGTTTAAATTCTATCTCATACCTGGTAGCGCTGTGACAATTCAGATACAAGGCTTGCATCATCTTTATTCACAATACAGGGACATGTTTCGCTATAAGATTTCAAGAAGACATTGATATAATACATCATTTAATAAGTGGCCCCATAATCCCCATCATTTCAACTCCCCTATAGATAGCGACTGCATATAATAACTGTTGTGCTAAGCTCCCCAGCAAACACAAAACGTTATAACATTAACGAAGGCTGTGGTTAGATTATGCCAGAAAATGATGTTAACACAACGTTGCCGCAGCAAATTCATTTAGTCAGAAATTATCACGAGGTTCTAGAACAATCCTTTTGTACAGAAAACTGTAATGAGGCCTATTACAAAGTCAAATTGTGTGCTGGATTATAAATCGAACAGCAAGTCTCGTATTTGGAGAAGTTTTCTCTCCAATTAATAGACGCGTAATAGGCCTACTGTATTCCATTCTTTGCATATACAGTACCCGAGAGTAGGCTGATAGAGAATTCATAGATTTCCATTGTACTATTACTAACAATAATAATAGTAATAATATACATATCGCCGTATGATTTACCGTATTTACAGTAGTACGGTACGCATAAACTAATTTGCGAATGGATTTGATGTATAATTGCTGTCATCACCTACCAGCCAAACTACGATAACATCTTAATTAAAATGTATAAGATACTTGATTTTAACATAGCATATTAAATGACATATGCCAAATCATGTTTATCGTGTTGGAGTTTTAAGCAAACAATTCTTTTTCATAATGAACATAAAATAAATATGTTGGCTTACGATCGCATATTTTTGCAATTGTCATTGTCTGCGTCCATGTTGCGCAACACGCTCACATCGAACGCTGGTATAACATTTACAAACGCCCTGGGAACCTATTAAAAATAAGCAAGCAGTTCATACACTGTTTAGATATAATTTATCTTTAATTAAATACGTGTATTAATAATATTAATGCCCGAGCAAATCTGCACTTTGGAGATCAGCCCATGATTGCCAAGTATTGAATTTGTGTTCTGATCGTTAAGCTATCCGGTGGGCGATTTTTTTTTCCGTACGAAACATTTGCATGAAACTTCACTCGGGCCATCTCGGATTGACTCGAGTGAGTACGATACGAGGAACAAGAGCAGACACTTCGCAATGTCGTGACGCTCGAGTTTTACTATTATTGCTCTTTCTATGTTTACCTACGGTAGGCCTATGAAATTTCACGGACTTATGTGATGTACGTCACTGTGTAACTAACTGTGACCTTCTTGGATGTTATTAAATGTTAGTATATTATCTACAACAACAACAGCTAGTACCTCCTGTTATACAGTGTAGATAGGTACAGTTATAACAAAGGCTAGAGAGAAAGAGGATAAACTATAGGCCTAACTACAGGCTGAGGACTTACCTAGGCCCCTCCTTAAACTAGGCCTAGGGTCAGGCTGACACAACAGTCACGCTTCACATACTGACATGGACTGAAA